CTTTCACTTTTGTTTTTAGTTTTTGACTTTTATATTGAAGTAGAGCTGATTTATAGCATTTCAGGTGTACAGTGAAATGATTCAGTTACACATACATGCGTATTTATTCTTTTTCAGATTCTTTTTTACTATAGGTTATTGCAAGATACTGAATATAGCTCCCTGCTATATAGTAGGTCCTCGTTTATCTATTTTGTATATAGTAGTGTGTATCTGTTAATCCCAAATTCTAAATTTATCCCTCCCCTCCCTTTCTCCTTTGGTAACTGTAAATTTGTTTCCTGTGTGAGTCTATTTTGGGTCTGTAAATAAGTTCATTTGTATCAGTTTTTTTAGCATTCACGTTTAAGTGATACCATATTGATACTTGTCTATCTCTGATTTATTACTTCACATAGTATGATAATCTCTAGGTCCATCTGTGTTGCTATAAATGGCATTATTTCATTCTTTTTTATGGCTGAGTAGTATTCCATTGTGTACATATACTGCATCTTATTGATCCAGTCGTCTGTCAGTGGACGTGCTGGTTGCTTCCATGTCTTGGCTATTGTAAATAGTGCTGCTGTGAACATTGGGGTGCGTGTGTCTTTTTGAATTAAAGTTTTCTCTGGATTTGAGTTTTGAATTAGAGTTTTTCTCTGGATTTCCAAGAGTGGGATTGCTGTGATCCCTCACTTCTAACTGTGCTGGGAGATCAGCACTGATTCAGGCATTCTTTGGTATCACAAAGTTTAGATGAGGCAAAATTCCAATGGACTAGCTACAGGAAGAGCAGCAGGGCTTTTGTTTGTTTGTTTTCTTTTCATGAAAGATGAGGATTTGAGGCAGATGGGCTAATTTAAGCTTTTTTCCTCTCACTTCTCAACAGAAGCCTAAGGTTCCTGTTTGAGAAGTTCTCCTCAAATACAGGTTGAATCCGTAGACTGTGGAGGGATGCCCCTGAGAGGCTGCCCCTTGCCCTTGGCAGTGTCAGGTGGCCCCGTGCGGGGCTCTGCCCTCCTCGGGTCTCACAGGTGGTCTTGTAGTCACACAGGTGTCCCCTGGAAAGCCTTGATGGGACACTGGGCATGAGACATGTCTTGAGTGAGAGAATCATGCAAACATCGAGCCTTTGGGATCTGCACAGTTTCGTAGCTCCCGTCTGCTGCTGCGTTTGCAGTCTCCTTTACGTGTCCGGAGCGGCGAGGCCGCTGCTGTTCTAGGAAAGGCTGCGCTGGGGATCCTTGGTGGTGGTTGTCCTTCCTTTGTTCTTTGGTTGGTCATATGATGGATTTGCTGGAGGTCCTTTTGCTTTATCTGTTTTCTGCAGAGTGTAGCTTACTTACCCTCGTGTAGTAAGACTCACCGATGTGTCCAGGCGTTTACCTGGAAGGAAGGGCAGCCCCCGATTCCCCCTCCAGAGGAACTCTGGCTGGAGTTGATGACAGACGACTGCAGGAACTGCACGTCGCTGAGTCTGGCGTCGTCAGCCTCTCCCTCAGCCAGTCCGACGGACACCCTGACGCTGCCTGCTTCCTTCCCGAGAAGGGGCGCTGGGAGGGCCCCGCGCACCCTGCTTAGCGCACGAGGGCCAGAGGAGTAGTGGTCTTCCCACGTCTGTGCCTGTCACCGCCGCCCTCCCTCTGCTCTCAGTGACGTCTGTGCTGCACACGTTCCCACGTGCTCAGGGTTGACCGGGGAATTCACAGCCATTGGGGGGATTGTATCTGTTTAGTTCAGTTTCACTCTGTGCATTTTGCTTGGCTCTGGGATCAGTTTGTCATTGCAAGAGGAGCAGAAGAGGAATGCCTTCCCAGCATTAACCAATTCTGTCATCATGGAAGATCGCAGACATACACACGGGAAGGGAGAATGTTGAAGCTGCCGTTTACCCGTCACCTGGTGCCGCAGTTACAACAGTTCTCCCACGTTGGCTTTTTCCTTCCTTTTTATTTTGGCCAAAGCATTTTAAGACACATCTCAGACATCGTGTCGTTTCATTCTTACAAACTCCATTGTCCTCTAAAAATACAGACATTTGTTTACACAACTGCAGAGGCATTATTATCACACCCGGCAGGGTTAGCAGTGCTCCTCGCGTAATCTGAAACCCGGTCCCTAGTCCGGTTTCCCTAACTGCCCCGTTGATTGTTACCTCTCAGGTCTGTCTAACCTGGGGCAGCCCCGCCCCCCAGCCTTTTCCCTTGCCATTTACTGGCTGCAGAAACAGGCAGTTGTCCTGTGGGCTGGCTCACATTTGGATGTTTCTCTGCTTATAACCAGGTTGTTCCTCCATCCCCCCCCCAGTTCCTTCCAGTAAAAATGAGTCCGTGAGGCGTGTTTGGCGAGGATGTTTCAGGTGGCATCATGCCAGGAGGTGCAGGTCTGGTGGTTCCTCCTTGGAGTTACGCTCATGTTGACCTGCAGGTTCAGGGGTTGACAGCCTGATCAGCCTGATCCCGGAGACGTTAGAAGTTCGTGATCAGCCTTTCGCTTGCTGTCTTCACCCATTTCTTACTGTGGTCTGAATCAGGCGTTTCATTAGGGTTGCACACTTACTCGCTGGATTGTTGCTTTTCATGGAAGATAGTCCATAGAGAAGGGTAGGATGGATGCATCAGTCTTTCCTTTTAATTCTGAGTTTCAAAGGTAAAAGTTGGAGTCTGTTTCTCTGCCTGTATGTTCCTCTCTTTCTTTCTCCACTCCTCCCCACCCCTTGTAATCATTGTGAACTCACGGGGTTTGGTATATTTAGTGCATTTCAAAGGATTGCACTCATTATTCTTTCTGATGCTCAGTTGTCCCATTTTTGGCCAATGGGAGTCTCTTCATAAACTGGCATCTGTGTTCCTTTGGCACGACTCTCTTGCGTTCTGGCATAACGAGATGTCCCCAGGCTCATTTTGTAAAGTGCTGCTCTGGCCTTGAAACCAGCCGTTCTGCAAGGATTCCTGTGCCATTTGGTGGAACAGGGTGCATACGGAAAGGGACCACTGCTGTCAGCTGTCATTGCTTCCTGGCCTTTTTGGTGACAGAGTTTAAAAAAAAAAAAAAGGACATGAATTTACACTGATATTTCTAAATCAAAAAATTTTTTTTGTAAATCAAATTTTATGTTATGCGATTTTTTCCCTCAACTTAGACTTTATATTTGTGTCTCATTTCTTTTACCTTGAATCTTGGTCCCTAACAATATTAACATAATGACTTACTTGATTATCTTAACTTATAAAAACACCAATGCTATTATACCTGACAAACTATTGAAAGAAGTTTGATTTCTCTGCAGCTTTGTTTGTCAATAGAATGTCCCTCTAAATATGTACAGTCAGTCTACTGTACTCAGAAGTCACTTGTGGATATGTAACCAACTTGAAAATTAAGGTTCATTTTCTTCATTTTGTTTTGAAAATTTAGAGATTGCTTTTCTCATTTATTTAGTTTTCCAAGTATATAAACACTGAGATGTTTCCAAAGTCAAAGCTACGTACCATGTTACATTCAGAGAAGTTTTACCTCATCCTTTTCTCCTTCCTCCCCCCTAGGTGACCATTTAAGTTCGTTCTGTATCATCCTTCTCCATGTTTACTTCTGTGCATCATTTAAGGAAATACCTAAATAGACGCACATGCCCCTCCTTTTTGCACAGGAGAGAGTGTCGTTTTCTGAGTCACCGCCCAAGCATGTGCTTTGTGTCGGTGCACACTGCTCTGCTCATCCCCTTCCCGCTGGCTGAGCAGGCTCTCATCATGAGGAAATGCCGCAGTCGGTGCAGCCTCTGCCGTGTGAATGGGCCTTGGGTTCCCTGCAGCTTTGCCGTAACAGATGCTGCCTCAATGAGTAAACTGGGATGTTGGTCGTCTCCTGTTTTTGCCAGTGAATCTCGGGATGGATCTCTAGATCAAAGGGTAGATGTGTATATAACTTTTCAGATACTGACGGGGTTTTTTTTGCTGAAATTTTGGTTATGCAGTTGAATTTCATTATCCTAACACTTTCACCTAGAAAATTTATTTTGCAATTTTAATGTTAAAGAAATCGGCTCAGTCCCTCATGTACCCTGCCTTTGTATGGAGCATGTTATTGAAAGTGTTATGATCTATTACTTTCATTAATTAATTAATTGAAGTATCACTTACTGAGTATAGAATACAGGACAAGAAAAGGTGGCTAAGGCGTCCTAAACCTCAGAAGATTTTAAATTGAATATTTTGGGATCTTCTATTTGATGTATATTTTGTCCCATGTTGGTCATCGAAAGTTGGGTGTTAAGGCCCTGGGAAATGCACCTGGACCTGCTGTAGCAGAGTGAAGCAGGATGTGTCTGCGGGGCGCAGGGACGTCATAAAGTCCTCTGTAGGTGCCTTCAACAGATGGTAATTGAACACCTCCGCTCTGCCAGAATGTAACAGTGAGCAGCACACAGAGTTCCTCCCTCCTGGCATTTATATTCTAGTACAGGAGACAGATCAGAAAGCAAGGAACAGCAAGAAAATTACGAGTTATCTATGCTTTGAAGGAATCGAATAAGAGATTGAGATAGAATCTCAGCCAGGGCTTCTGTATGTAGGGGAGAGGCAGCTGACACCGCCAGCCACGTATGAGGTGGGGGAAGGTGGGGGCCGGCCACGCAGGACCTTGGGTTTTAGGTTAAGGATTTGGATTTTAAGTACATCAGGAAACCTTAATTGAGGACAGTTAAGTAAGGGAGTGGCGTCTGATGCTGATACATCGCACGCTTATTCTCCACTGGATCGGAAGGCCGCTCAGTGTTATGCTTTAGCTCCAGAAGCAGCAACATCACCCCTTCTGAAGCTCCAAGTGCGGTGAGTTTTCCTGCCTGCTCCGTGACGCAGGGCGGCTGCTTCTCATGCTCACACGCAGGTCTTCTGAGGACTTCTTTTCTTTTTCAATGATATTCCATTGATGTTGCTCGGATAATTACAGTGAGTGGTTGTAGTTGGATTATGTACTTGGGCTGTGAACGGAGCGTGATGTCTACAAATTCTCTTCTTCAGACCTGCAACTCCAAGAGACACATCTGTCTGGAAGATAAGAGCTCCTTCCTCAAGACCAGAAAAGGTCTGTTACTGCTGTCATGTTTATATGAAATCAATTATGGAATCAGTTGCAACTTTCTGGACAAAAAAATCCCTTTTCAATATTTGTGTTTACATTTCTGTTACAGGCGGCTGGAGTGATACCTGTGTGGGGAGCCTTCACAAGGAAGGACTGGCGTACCTGGACCCGAGGAGCTGGCTTCCTGCGAGGGCTCCTGTCTGATGCGCAGGAGGCAGAATGTCACAGTGACTCTGCGAGGGGAGGCCCCAGGGGACCGAGAGCAGCACGCAGTGTCTCACCCTCTGCCACGAGGGGCGCTGTGCAGTCCTTTTCCTACAAGTGAGAAGTACCAGGCTGTTCTCCAAGAGGAAGAGTCCGGGGGCTTAGAAACGCAGAGGCTTGCACCTTGGGAGCCCCTTGGAATGTTGACAACTCAGGATCTAAAAGAAAGTGCTGTGTCAATGAGTTACAGAGTTCATGTGGACGTAAATGTCACTTTATAACCAATAACAGTACTGAGTGAGGAACACTATGCAGGAAGAAACCTTCCGTAGGAAGGCAGGCAGGGTGAAGCTGAGGCTGACCTTAAACCTACCGAGCAGAGCGAGCCTGGGATAAGCGCCAACATGGCCGAGTGAGAGACTCTGCACAGTAGCAGTCCTGTAGCTAGAGCAGTTGTAAGGAAGTTTTCCCCTCTAAATCACGATACCAAATAGGAAAAATGATCTACAAGTGCCCCATGTGTAGGGAATTCTTCTCTGAGAGAGCAGATCTTTTTATGCATCAGAAAGTCCACACTGCTGAGAAGCCCCACAAATGCGACAAGTGTGATAAGGGCTTCTTTCACATATCAGAGCTCCACATTCACTGGAGGGACCACACAGGAGAGAAGGTCTATAAGTGTGACGACTGCGGTAAGGATTTTAGTACTACAACGAAACTTAACAGACATAAGAAAATCCACACGGTGGAGAAGCCCTATAAATGTTACGAGTGTGGCAAAGCCTTCAATTGGAGCTCACATCTTCAAATTCACATGAGAGTTCATACAGGTGAGAAACCCTATGTCTGTAGTGAGTGCGGAAGAGGCTTTAGCAATAGTTCAAACCTTTGCATGCATCAGAGAGTCCACACCGGAGAGAAGCCCTTTAAATGTGAAGAGTGTGGGAAGGCCTTCAGGCACACTTCCAGCCTCTGCATGCATCAAAGGGTGCACACAGGAGAGAAGCCCTACAAGTGTTACGAGTGTGGGAAGGCCTTCAGCCAGAGCTCGAGCCTCTGCATCCACCAGAGGGTGCACACCGGCGAGAAGCCCTACAGGTGCTGTGGGTGTGGGAAGGCCTTCAGCCAGAGCTCCAGCCTCTGCATCCACCAGAGGGTGCATACCGGCGAGAAGCCTTTTAAATGTGATGAGTGTGGGAAGGCCTTCAGTCAGAGCACCAGCCTCTGCATCCACCAGAGAGTGCACACAAAGGAGAGAAACCATCTCAAAATATCAGTTATATAAAGTGTTTCGCTAAGAGTTAAAAATCTTAAAACCCATAAGTGCCACTAGGAAGGAAACCCTGTAAATACCTACATTGACCCAAGAAATCTTTACAGCAAGCCCCAGCAGAACACTGTTTTCGAGGAGGCATGTGTGAGCTTGATTTTGGGGATTCAGGCCAAGTGTGTTCCGCAGCTTGACTTTGAAGCTGGGGTCCCTCCGAGCACCTGCCCAGGACAGGCTGTGAGGCCCCAGGTGTGGACGTGCGTTTCCTGGGGTTCTGGCACGATGCTCCAGTAGCTGAAATACTACCCGGGAACCTGTGATCACTGCCCAGCCTCCTGGGTCACCTACGCTTTCCCTAACAGTTGCCCCAGGTACACCCCCCACCCCCGTTTCGGGAGCTCAAGACCTTCCTTCTCTTGCCTCGAGCATACTGGTGAACGCGTTTGGGAACGGCCAGCTCCCACTGAGTAGTGTCCTGGTATTTCTGAGGTTAACACTTGATCCAGCCTCTACATGTCTGTCCATATATCCCATTATTTCTGAACTCACATTACCTGTGTGTTCTCAAAACACCCATAGATACCCACCCCTTCCTAGATGGCATTAAATTCCATTTTAGATTTCAGGCGACTCATAATTTCCATTCACTTTGCCTGTCAGAGAAATTGGCAGACATACATGCCCTTGAACCTTCCTTGAACTCTTTTCTTAATTTTGTGAATTCTGCTAATCACTGTGTCTCTGTTTAGTCAGACTTAATTTTCTAGTGGCTACATCACATATTTTTAACTTGAATTTTTTTTTTTTTTTTTTTTTGGAAATAGCTGAATGTAAATAGGGAGGAAGAAGCAAGCAAAGTTAGAACTTTTCTCCATCCAGAATCGCCCTCCTGGGCTCCTCTGGCGACGCGCGGGGCTCCTCCCCAGCTCGGGGAGGCCGTGGGAGGCAGGAGGCGTCGCTAACTAGTCTCTGTTTCTGTAATTTTGGGCGATGAGGTGTCGGAGTCCTCGACACCCCTTCACTGAGGAGGGTGTACCAGTTCCCGTTCAGGCGTGAGTGTTTCTGTTAGTCTCTCCTTTTCTTCATCCATTCAACACGTAGTGACGGAACGCCGCCTGCGTGCCGGGCGCTGCGCTGGGTGCTGGGAGCAGCGCGGAGGAAGACAGACAAGGGCCCTCCTCTCGTGGAGCTGCTTCTGCTGGAGGAGACGGATGATGAGCGAACAATAACGTAGTCTGAGATAGTGATTAAGTGCTATGAGGAACATAAACTAGGGTGACGACTTAGCGCGGTGGGGGGTGGGGGCGGGGGGCGTTAGTAGCGGTCCGGGAGGCCTTCCGGGGGCGGCGGGCGCGGGCGCTGCGGGGCCGGGCGGGGGCGGCCCTGCCCGCGGGCGCGGAGCGGGAGTTCCGGCGGCCAGCCGAGCGTAGTGAGCAGTGGGGAGGGGGCGAGGTACTGAGCGGCTCAGTATCCTGACATTTTTAGGCCTTTTTTTTTCCGGCTAGATTGATGTTAAAAGCTCATGTGGAGGAACTCAAGGAATGTTTAGAAGACCAAAAGTCCCCAATGACAAGAACAAAAAGCAACTAATTTTTAACTTTGTTTCTCTTCTCATTCCTGTTTTCATTGATTTCCCACATGTAGTCCTTCTGCTCAGGAAGTCTTTGGGGAAAATTAAGGCTCTTTGAGGCTCTAAAGTGGGTGATCACGTTAGCAGTGTCTGTCCACTGTCTGAGAGGTTGGAAAATGAACTACCCAAAATAGTCATCGAAGTACTAAAACGAAGTGTGATTTTTCTCTTCATATTTGAATTGATTTTTTCTGTTGGACTGGAAGGGGTTTTTCTATAACTAAAACCTCAACGCATAAAGGGGGTTAAAAGGAGCACGTAACTTAGTGGGTGAGCCGCGAACTAGAGATGGGGTCTGGGGGTGCGTTTGTTACTGTCTGAGGTTTAACCCAGACGTCTCAGCACACCTTTGGGGAGTCACTGCTCATGCGGCTCCTCCTTTTTGCAAAGAGAGGGCTGGCTTAGTTATTGGATAAAGCCCCTTCCAGGCCTGAATCCTCGACTATGATGTACTGTGGTGTCTTAACACTCTTTCATGTCACAGCAGCGTGGAGCTTTAGAGAAAAGCCTAGACTTTTAGTTGATAGAGAGCCAGCTGAAATATCACTGATAGACTTTTAGTTTTAGGAAAAGTTGGTTTGATTTCTAGCTTTGTTACTATTAGGTATGTGAGCTTGGGCAAATCGCTTGATCTCTGAGTCTAGTTTTCTCACGTACACAATGAGGACATTAGGCTAAATGATTTCCGAGTTTCCAGCTAGTCCTAGAGTTCTATATTTCTACATAGTTGAATTATTTTATCATGCTGTTGCTGGGGAATATGACTAACACTTTTGAAGCTACTAATTTTATGTCGAGCTTTAAAGTCCATAATTGTTATCTTCAGAAAATATTATTTGACCTACAGTATGTCCAAATCAATTTAATAAAATCACTTTATAACAGGGTTCTGTGCTTGACATACAGTTGTGTGCATTTGGTGGTCATTGTGTGTGTGGGGGGTTGGCTTGCACTTTAACATGTCTGGGGCAACCATATAATAGAGTTTGGGGGGTGGGGAGCTGTTAATGCTTATAAATGAGGCCAACGGACCCAAAGTGGGGAGGCCCGGCACCCGTAGCTGAAGCAGGGGTTGCCCGCGGCCCCCGCAGCGGTCCTGACTGTGGGCCAGGTGTCCGCCTGCTTCTAGTGCCCGGTCTGCATTCCACCACTGACGCAGAAGCCGTCCAAACGGCCCTGTTGATGTGAGTGGGGTGGGAAGAGAGGTCACATGTGGGCCCAAGGTCACCCCTGGGTCACGCCTGTGCCTGCTAAGATTTTAGGGTGTGAGAGAGGTCAAGACTGGCGTCACAGTTTCTAAGGGGAGCCTGAGCAGATGGCGAACTGTGTCTTCCAGGTCTCTTACCTGAAGGAGGCGCTCTTTCACATCAGCCCAGTAGCACGCGGCGGCTGCTGTAGAGACGTGACGCCCAGGCCCGTTGCGGGCCACCTGGGGGAGGCCGTAGGGGAGTCTGGTGGTGTGCGAGCTTGGTCAGGATGCCTTCCAAGGGGCCTTCCAATTCTTGGTTCTGTTATCCTAAATTTTTAAAAAATTATTAAGCAGTTTTTTTCTGTACAACCTGCTGTTATCCTCAGGAATTTGGGGGAAAAAATAGGTGAAAGCAAATATCAGAAGCAGATGGAAAAAGCACACAATATAAAATCAAACCCCTAAGAAGAGATGAGAAAGGCCGATGCCAAGTGTAAGTCGCACTGCTGAGTCAGGACACGTGGACTGGGATAAAGGGGGAGGGGGAGATGTGAGTGCAAGTCGCACTGCCGAGTCAGGACACGTGGACTGGGATGGGGGGGAGACATGAGTGTAAGTCGCACTGCCGAGTCAGGACACGTGGACTGGGGTAAGGAGGGGGAAATGTGAAGGTGACTCGGCCCTTCCTCTGCGACCTTACGCAGTTTCTTAACTTCTCTAAGCCTCAGGTTTCTCATCTGTGGAATGGTTTTGAAAATACCCAACTCATGTGGTATTTGAGAGAACTAAACACGTATTAAGTGCCTAGCCTTCAGTAACCTTAGTGATGCAGCAGAAAAATTGTCGCTGCTCCCAGTTGCCTATTCAGATGAGTCATGTGGGGTGGGGCCTGGAGAGGGCTGGATTGCTCCCCATGATAAGAAAGCAAAGAGCTTGAGTCTTCCAGGATAGTCTAAGACAGAAAATACAGAGTCGAATTGGAAAGGGGGTCAAAGAGAAGGACCCAGCGGAGTGGGGTGGTGTAGGGTTGCCTGCTTTCCCTTATGAACCCTGGTGACCACAGCGGCCCTCCCTGAAGTCTGGAGATGCTGGTCTGAGTGGGCTTCTTATGGAAACCGGTGGAAGGGCCAGGTACTGGGTCCAAGCTGAAGTGGGGCAGAACCTGAGTGTCACACGTAAACAAACGCTGGGGCCAGAAGAGGGTGGCCGCAAGACACACGCTGCGAAGAAGGCACAGAGATCTTTGGGAGAGCTTGCAGCCTCTGTGGGCCTCGGCCACCCAAACCCTGCGGGGCAGGGAGGCCCCCTCCGTTCCCACTGCTGGTGTGCGTAAGGTGGGGTGACTCTGAGGTCACAGAGAGGGACCCGGGAACATTTTTATCATCATCATGTTATATTTAGGCACACAAGCAAATGCGGAGATTCCAAGGCCTTGTGTGTGTGCCACGCGTCAGCGGGAACTCAGATCTCAGTGGAAGGTGACTGTTAAACCAAAGCGCTTTTAAAGTTGGGATGCACCCATATGCAAATAAAATACATTTTTAGAGTAAAATAATAGCATGGGTGGGTTGCAGGTGAATTTATACATTTTATAGACTGTTTTGTGTGTACCTTGCCGGTAACTTCCTCAGTCCTGCTTCTGAAGATAGGCTCACTCAGAGACTTTCCCCTTCTCCTCTGTAAGGCTGGCCTGGCCCAGGTCTTCTCTGCGTCACGAATTAAGGTGGGAGTGTCGTGTTTGGAGAGTTTTTAAACCTGGGATCTGTAGGCGGGCTTCAAAGAGGTCCAAAACCTTCTTAAATTGCATGCAGAGTTTTGTGGATGTGTGTATATGCATTCTTCTAGGAAGGCGGGCTTCACTTGTGACTGTAACAGATAAGGAGCGCTGACGGTGGGGGGGGAACCATCTGATTGAGCCACACAGTTCTTCATTGTGCCAGGACCTTGGGCCCTGGGGCACCTGCGAGGTCAGAACCGGGGTGGGTCCTGGGAACGAACAGAAAGCGATGGTGTAATGAGGAAGAAAAGTAACACCGTGCTGTGTTGTGAGGAAAGAAAAGGACGTTGGCATAAAACGAAAGCTCTGTACGCACGCGGTGTTAACGCAAAGCTGCGTTGCGGTGTAACGTCATGTGCTCAAGAGAAGAGTCCTGTGAACAACGTGTGAGCGTTTGTGTAGGTGAGAACAGCTGGGCCGTCCGGAGGGAAGAGCTGGCTCCTGAGGGGAAGACCCTGGAGCCGCAACCCGGTCTGCCTCTTGGTTGCAGGGGAGGCAATTCCTGCTGTAACATTGCAGCGAGGCCCCCAGCGCTGGTGTGGGTTGTATTTAGATTCTCAAATAAACCTGTTCGTATGGCCTGGTGTGGTGTTTTTCTGTGTCCCACTTCTCCTGCCTGGAGTACAAAATTGAGGAAATAGTGCCTTTTTAACAATTAAATCAATCACCTTGAGCCTTCACCCTGTCTGTCCCCCCAAATGCCCTGTTCACCCTGGCGCTCCTCTCCCCCTGCACGCCCCGCTCCTCCCTCTCTGGGGAAAGCTCAGGCCCCGCAGGGGCTTAGTCGAGAAGGCAAGTCCTGCCTCTAACACCCCGTGGAGAAGGAGCAGGAGGTTTTGGCTGGTATCCCAGCAGGCCATGTTTCCCGTGTCACTGTTGACAACACGTAGTGTTGGAGAGGCCTGAATTCTCTGCGTGTTGCACACCAAGACAGCTCACTCAATCCAGTGACCATCAGGAGAAGAAATGAACAACAAGGAAATGCAAAATAAGATGGCAGGAGTACCTTTAAACATAGCATTCACCATACTAAATGTGAACGGGTTAAATTCTGCTGTGTGTACATTTCAAGTTGAACGGTCAAGTTCACCACCAATGTGTTGATTACAGGAGGCCACCTAAGACAAAGAGGTGACCAAAGGTTGAAACTAAGGGAGTGGAAAGACACCCCAGGAAAATGCCTGCAGAAAGGAAGCCAGTCCTGATAGGATGCACGGTGAAAAGCGTCCGTTTATGGAAGGAGCAGTTTGTCAAGACAAATAGTTCTGTACCTTTATTTGGCTCAAAACACAGCTCTGAATGATACAGTTTATGTTGCTAGAAGTACAATGAGTAATTCATTCCCGACTGCAGCAGGATGTGTGAATCCTCCTGTCTTAGAATCTGCAAATCAACGAGGCAGAGAAAGATGAAACTGTTCAGCCAGCAACCTTAACAAACCTGATCTATCAGCCGCCCGTGAACTTTGTGCCAAAAACCCCTCTTGGAACGTTTATAAGAACTGACCGCATTTTATGCCAGAAAGAAACTCTCACCAGATTCCAAAACGTAGGAATCTCACAGGCCACACGTTCTCTGCCTGTAGCAATAAAAATCAAAGTTGCTGAGAAGGAGCCAAAGATCCTATCGACTTGAAAATTAAAAAACCAAAAAAACCTCAAAAAAAAAAACAACCAAGCAAAATAGAATATCTCCTTCCCCTCCAAGTTGACTTTAAAGAGGAAATGAAGACAAGCACAGACAGTTCACAGACGAGTGAATGGCAGGGATGGCATCACATGACATACCTCGCTGGATGGAACCAAAGTGCGTAAAAGGCTTTATAGCCTTAAATTGATGTATTAGGTAAATATTAAAGCTGAACCAAGCCGTTGAATTTACAAGCTGAGGGCCTTCATTGAGCTCAGGCGTTCTGTTCCTCTCAGCTGTCACTGTGCTGAGTCATTTTGAAAAATAAGGACAACATATAATGCGCCGCACCCCCCCCCCCGCCGCCACCAACCCAGCTCAGGCAGTCAGTGCAGGCAGAGGAGGGACCACCGGGGTCCTGAGGGGCCACCCTTAGGTTTGCCAGATGAAATGCAGAATGTCCAGATACATTTGAATCTCACGTATTTGACCTACTGACACAAAAAATGATTCATTGTTTACCCACTGCTAATCCGAAGTTCACACCTGACCAGCTGCCCTGCATTTTCATTCACCAAACCTGGCACCCGTGGCTGAGGGAAGGCTGGGGAGGGGCTCCCGTGTTCAGGAAAGGGGTGTCGTAGGAGAGTGCAGGAGACCCTGGGCAGCTGTCGTGGGGTGGGGAGACCTTTCTGATTTCTACAGTCAAGAGAGGCTGCACGCCCCTAGTGCATGCTCCGGGTTCACGAGGACAAATCAGATCCAGGACTCCTGGGCACCTTGGCATCTGGACACCTGGATCTTGGGGGAAGGCTCCGTGGGGCCTGGGAACTGAAGTTAGGGCCATCTTGGGCCAGGCAGTCCTCCTTCCCCAGGGTCAACACACAGACCTGGGCCGACTCTTGGCCAGGCATCCACGCCAAGGTCGGCTCTTGTCCAGGGCTGCCCGGAGGTGATGGGACGCAATGAGGGTGGCAGGCTCCCAGCACGTTCTGGGGTCTTCAGGAGTCTCTAAGTTGTAGCGTTCTGGAATAATTGGAAGCTGAAAGAGATGGAAATCCTAAGAGGGAGATACTAGACTTTATCTGCCCATGGATGCTCAGTTGATACAGCTCACACCTTAGGGTTTGGTCATTTACCACAAAACACTGACCGTCTCGGATGTGCTCAGGCTGCGTAAGTGAGAAGAGTCAGTGGGGCCTGAGGCTGGTGGTACCCGAACACTGCAGAGGTGGACGTGTGGTGATGGGGACCCAGGCTTCTGGACGCAGAGTCCTTCCACCGTGTCCAGCTGTGACCTTGAGCAGGTT